CCTTGGTATGAGCGCTCCTTTATATATTATTTCGATTGCTTCACTATTAAGTCCCCAAGTTGATCTAGCAACACGAGCTAGAGCATTAAACAAGTTGATGCACTTGTTTCTTGTTGAGATTGTGTGTGGGAGCCAGGTAAGTCTGTTATCATATTTTCAATGGCCAACCTGAAGGTGCAAGATAAACTGCAACTTAAGGATGGCCATAGGGCAAGTTATGGAAAGGTTTTATTTTATTCCTGAAATTTTCTGCAGGGTATACATCCAAAATTACAGTTACAAAAAAACTAACAAGTCAAATGATCATTTTTCTAATATCTTTACTGAAAGCTTTCTTCATCCAATTGCTTATTTATAATCTGAAATGCATCTCTCTCTAGTCGAGTTAAAAGAATGACATATGATGATCACCATATCAGGTGACTTGTTATATTCTAGCATAAGAGTCTCTATATTGATATAGTTTCAGCTTCATAAAATTATGATGATTGTATTGGACATAACTACTTAACAGTTATGATAAAAATATATAGTTAATTATTGAAATAGTGACAACAAAAAGGAGACTTGCCAATGATTTTGGGGTATAAGTTAAAATCATTATATGTACAGTACGCACAGGGTGATTCAAGTCACAGAAATTTTAAAAAATTAATAACACTCAAACTATTTACAATAAGACGATGTGGTTTTCACAGAAATGCTTAGAAAGAAACAGGATTTTTACGTCATAAAAATTTTAATACCAAAATAGTTAATTTCTTGTCAGATGATTTCTGTGACTTTTGAATCACCCTGTATACACACACACAAACAAACAATCCTTGACCATTTGATAAAGTAAATTTTCAAAATTGTAAAGTGTATAGACGACCCTGAAAATACTCATCATTTACCATGTCATTACAAAACTGCTTTTGCACATGTGATGGATTTGTAGTTCTACCTTTTACAATGACATTGTAAATAGATTCAGTGATGCAGGCAAATCAGCTCAAAAAGATTCAGTTACAGGATAATGATAATGGTAAATAGCAATAAATAAGTAATAAATCAAACATATATCTTAGCATTAGTGTGTACACCAGTGATTCTCAACCTTTTTTCGTCATGGTACACTTTTAATAATTTAAAAATTTGGCGGCACACACAGTTACTTCGGTAAGTACCATAGGACAACCGGTGACATCATAACAGTGATTTTTAAACACAGTTGGTTATTTAGATCACATTTTCTAAACATCTTAGTAACTACCAGCTGTTTCCAGTAACACCGGTTACAATTTCCAAATGCACCCTAGGAAGGTAAACCGATTAAACTACTTGTCTCACGTCACTTATGTATGGGATGTTCGCAGTGACGGCACAGTGGTTGAGAATCACTGGTGTACACTAATGCTAAGATATACAGTCAACCCCCTATGACACGGTTTCCTATAGTTCGGATTCCTATATGACAGAGAAAAAATTGCGACGGTATCCGTACAAACATGGTAAAAAAACTCGTATAATTCGGTAAAACATCATCGGGCAGCTGAACTACTTTCCACTGTCCAGCACCACGCTACGGAGAGTTTAGGCGAGTAAGTTGAGTTTACTATCGTCTGTACAGTATGTAAATTAGGTACCGTAAGTCTAATACAGCACTAATTTCATACATTTCTTGTGAAAGAAACATTTCTTATTCAATGGCCATAAAAATTATTTCTATTAATGATGTCTGCAAAGTTCAATGAAGTTTTCACAGAAAAATAACTTATCAAAAATTGCAACCGCTGTTTGGTGCGCTGTTCCGCGATGAAAACAAGCTTAAGCAATGGCGACGTCGAACGGTGCACATTCGGTAAGTAATCCTACAATTTTTTGTTTATAGCATAGTTTATACGGATTATTCCCAAAAAAATATACGTGTTTTGGAAATGTCGAGTCGAATTAGTCTAGGAATGAATTAATTTTACGGAAGAAAACCTTTCAAACAGCCATAGTCCGTAAACTTCCCACGTGTCGGGCTGCAATTGGCAAGGTCTCCTAAAACATCAATTTCATAAAAAATGGAACATATCTACCATCTTATGGGGGGGGTCGACTGTATATAAGTTCTTCACTATCTCTCTTATTGAATAGATATAAGAAATGTAATTTCAGTTATTTTTTAAATTTTATATACCATTTAAAACAAATTTTAAATTAATTTCAAGTACTACTTCTAATGAGATTGAAAAAAGGACTTGCCAACAATTGTCAGTCATTTTTGATTATTTACTGGGAGCTACTCGTGGTTTTTTAACATGTATTCATGCTGTGTACTTACATTCAAGTCTGTAGAACTATTTTTAATCATTTTAAAAGGTAATTTTTCCAACATTCAAACAAATTATTTACACCTAAAATTAAGCTAAACTAAATGCACTTTTGCTAATAATGAAGTAAAATTTTATTTCCAATTGCAGTAACACAGCTGGTAAAGTTTTTTGTGTTTTTCTCAAATACAAAACTGTGACAAGTCCCCTGTTTGATCTTACAATTTTATAAAAAAGTTCTTTCTTGTTCATTTCAATAACAAAAAAAAATCTTAATAAAACAAACTTTATTTTTAGAGTTATTGTAATTTTTGATTAAGTTTATTATAAAAATGAACAAACAGTAAAATAAAACTATTGTAATGTTAGTTAAAATCATGTGAGAATCTTCAAATATCAAATTTTTCCTTTTACTCTAAAGAGAGGAAAGAACTACAAAACTCTAAAACAACAATTAGAATAGAACAAACTTATCTCCAACAATTATAATTAAGTATTTTCAGCTGCATTTATTAACGTCCTTCAGGTTCAAAAAAATAACGTACAATTTGTTTTTGTTCTATATTTCAAATTAGTAGATAGTCAATAAATGCAGCCAAAAATATTTGTTATTCAAGTACAATTAATTACTGAATTAGACTTCCATCAGATGCAATATAAAACCATAAAAAAGATGATGCAATGAATTAAAATAATCACTTTTTAATTAAGGAAATATTTTATGAATTTTTAGTGCATTAGAAACATTTCTGATGTATTGTTTAGTTTTAAAAATCATCATTACTAGAAAACTAATAAGAAAATACAAATTAACAAATTAATCTTCACTGAACTCATATTTTATTATATTTTTCACAAAGAAATAAAAAAAAAACTACAAATATAAAAATGATTTGTTTAAATTTAACAATTCTCTGTATTTCTTAACCATTCATTATGCAAATTTCTTACCCATTCTTTATTCAAATTTAATATTTTTCTGTATTTCTTAACTATTCATTACATCTATACTGTATATTAAACAAAAAAATGTCTATTGGTCTGTTTGGAAAGGATTACTGATCAATTAGTTGATAATTAAGGTGAATGATATTAACATTTGGTCAGTCACACACTAACCTACCTTCAAAGATTGATAAGTCTGGAAGCAACTAGTAAATTTGATGGAAAACTTTGTAGGTAACATTTCTGAACGACACCCAGTTTAAGCAGATGAACCAATAAGTATTTCCAAACAGACCTTATAAATGTGAAACAAATTTCCTTTTCACATTTTCACAGATTTGTATTCATATTTTGTTTGATGCTTTTTATTTAGTGATGAATTGCAATCATTAAAGCTTTTTCTCTTTTTATTTGTTTCTTATTCAGTGTTTTCTTTTTCTTCAGTTGAAGTGCTTGTAATTTGATACAGAGTTATAAAATTAGTTTTACAGATTATCAACTTTTTAGAATTAAAATCTGAAGTACTATTTCTTGAATTAACTGTACATACTGAAAATTTTAAATATCTGAGTATTTTTTATGTTGTGAGACAAAGTGCATTTTATCAAAATAATAATGGAAAAAAATTACCAAGTGTAATATGAAGGTTTTTTAAGTATTAAAAGTAAAGCTCAAGCAGAAATGAGAGAAATAAAGCTACTGAAAAACAGGAAAATGCTTTAAGAAATGACAATTCAAACTGTACTTACAAGTTAGTGTATCAAACTGATCAAATGTGTGACAAAAGATTAATGATTATTAAAGAATTGTCTTGAATTTTGATTATTATTGTTTAAAGATAATATAAAGCCCTACCTTCTAGGGCCATCAACAGAATTTCCAGAATTTTACTTATATGATGTTTATATCTATATTAATCTCAAGAAATGTTAAGTCCAAAAATTTGATACAATAAAATTGACATTAATATATAGTGTTTATACTTACCCAATGAACATGTTAATTAAATTAAGAAAATAAAAATAGTTTCCTCATTGATCAGATTATTCTTAATCTTTTTTCTAATATTCTAAATGTTTAAAAAAAAAATGAAAACTAGATTCTTTTTTTAAAAAACAAAATTATTTTCTTTTAAAATATTATTATTGTAAACCCTCAAAAATATTTAAAATCTTTAACTTTGTTCAAACAACATAACAATTACTGGTAAATTACACAAAATGAAAAGATTAATGCAATGCAATAACATGAAATACAATAAGCATATATAAAAATAAAGAAATCAATGTGTGGCAATTTGACAATGCTTAAAGATCTGATAACTAATGAAAAGTGGAGAATTACTTCAGATAAAAGATAATGGAAGAACTGACAATACATAGAAAACAGACAGGTTTTAATTGTCCAAAGGCAAAGATAGAAACAATGGAGAAACTTGAGAACAAATTTGTGTGTGTGTGTAAAGTGTATAATGCATTTCCTGAAAATTAATATAAAACCTATTATTTTACATCTTTGTATTTATTATAAGTTTATAGCAAACAGTAGAAAATATTCATTTACTCATATAATTATTAATTACTATTAAATATAGGTGTAAATACATTACATTTCTTGTTAACATAATAAGACATTATTATAATTAGAAAGCATGACAGAAATTTAAAAAGTTTCCATTACATTTGCTCAATAACAAAAACCAATAAAAGAAAAAAATATTAATTAAAATCCGTCATACAATTTAAAAAACCTCACCTAAAAGCCAATTTAAAGTCTATTGCCGGCTGGCTAGAAACGTAAAACGCATCTATTTATTCTTTAAAAACTGGTGGCCGATTCGGCCATTTTCTGTTGCCATATCAACGTGCAAACAACCGATAGACCGCATAAAATGGTAAAAAATTACGACACGTAAAAGAAACTAAACTCGGAAAATAACGACATAATACTCCATAAAATATTCTCTAATATATTTATAAATTAAACAATAAAAACGTAATTATTACTTTTATAGATTTATTGACGTCATTGCTGACGTCGCCTTGACATCATTGTACTTACACGCATGGGACGTAAGAACGGAGAAAACTGTCCGAATCGAATATATTCGAGCAAGTTATGTCGTTCTTATATATTATAGATTTAATTGAATATATAATAATATAGAATATAAGAAAGAAATGAGCGTCGAGGCTTATGGACCAAGTTCTCAGACTTTAACATTTTTGGATACGGAGGAAGGAACGGATTTGCTGGGTGCAGATACACAAGGAACGGAATTTGATTTCACCGATTTCACCTTACCTTCTCAGACTCAAGCATCACAATTAGAACATACGCAAAGTCAGGCATCAAGAAGTCAGGTAAATTCAATTATTTTAAGTTAAAAGTAAAGATAAAATAACAAAAATCTTAACCTTAAACTAAGCCTTATACCAACGCTTCCATTTTAACCCTAACATTAGGCCTAATGTCTTGTGTTTTGTAAATTTACTCCTGTGTAATATACAATTGATCATGTGTTTATAATAATTCACGATTCGATTTTTGTTAATTAACGAGTAAAATCTGTGCGTAATTCGATTCCATTTTTAATTGTTTTCGAAAAAAATATGTGTAATTAGATCAGGTGTTTGTGTTGTGTGTTTCTAAACAGAATACGTTTTTATTTATTTATTTATTTTTTTTTTTTCTATAATTTTGGCAATTTAAATAATTATTATTATTGTTAATTAGGTTTATTGGGCTGTTTATTAAGTTTATTTTTTCATTAATTAAGAAGTTATTTTAATTTGTCAAAAATATTTATTAAGTGACTTAATTAATTATTCTGATCCATGATTAAAATTCTTTAATGGTGACAATATGTTTAATAATAATAATTTACAGTGTTAAAGCTCCTTTTTTTTAAATAAACAGGTGCATGATGAAAGTTGTTGTTAATTTTTTGGTACTTTTCTGTTAACTGGGCACCATTCAGTTCAATTACAATGAATATGCTTATACACATTTTTAATATTACAATGCATATTTTCCACACATATGTATAAACATATTCATTGTAATATTAAATGTATAAATTATGAAATAAAATATCAAGTTTGTTACAAATAGTAGTAAAAGTGACTGGTGCCCAGTTAACAGAAAAGTACCAATTTTTTAATATATTTATTTATTTTCCTGTAATTTGTGTAATAATTACCTATGACATTTTTCTAGTTCATATTTCTAGTACAATGTGCATATATATTTATCAAAAATAGTGTTCAATGTGTTCTACTTTTACATGTTTGTTTTGATTTATAAATAAAAACAGTAAAAGTATTAGAACAGTTTCTTCGTTAAAAAATATAGTGTTGTTGTTATGGTTTTAAACTTTTAATATATTTAATACTTTTTTTAACAGATGATCATTCGATTAACTGGTTTTGTATTTTTATGTTTGATTATTATTTATTGTGATAATTTAGCTTAGTGGTAACTAGTTGGTATGTTACATTCCATCAAACATTTATTTTTGAAGTTGTTAAATACTTAGAAAAAAATCAATATGAAGTTCTGAAAATAAACTTTTATATTATTATTTACAATGTTATTTTTATTGAAATTCCAGAAATAGTTTGTCTTCTTTTACTATTTATACTTACAAGCAATTTGTAATAATTATTGCTAATTTTATTCATTTTATATATATGTGTGTGTGCTACTACTAAATTGTATAAATTAAAATGGGGAAAAAATTTTAAATGTTTAATTTATAAATTTACAATAAATTTAATACTGCTTAGAGTTAATATCCTGACAGAGTTTACATTTTTAAAATAATAGATGATAAACATATACATTTTAAATGATTAGTTTATAACTTTGCATTTTAATCTTTTTTATCGTCATTTAATGTGTGCAATGATACATGCATCCAACATGAATTTATGAACTCTAATTGGCATAGTTTTATCATATACCACTTTTTATAAAAGAGCTTTTTATCTTATTCATGGAATAACTTAAACGTCTGTTTATTTGTAGTAATGTATTTATAGATCAAATAAATTGGAACTTTGAATTTTATTCTGATTCAGTTAACCATCATCTTTTGACAATAACAGTTTGTCCTTCATATTATGTATATATTTTATTATAAATATATTTTGAAAATTTAGCAATTTTTGATCACATATGGAAAGTTGTATTGAATGGCAGTTTATATACTATTTTCATAAAATGATTCTTTTAAAATAAGTTAGAATTTGTTGTCATCCCTATTTAGAATATATATATACAGTATATGTTATTTCAGCTACTTGTTTAATAAAATACGTTTTTTTAGATATATTAAATGATGGGACATTGTTTTCTTAAATATTCTTTAAATATTTAACATAAATAATGTCTTTTGTTTTAATTATTTCTAAATAATTCTGTTATCACATTTGAATTTCCTGTTTTCTATTTTTTTATTTTCTTAAGATGTAGATCTTAGGTGAATTGCATTTTCATGTATAGTTTTTGTTAATAAACAACAGTTTTATTCAATTCGTTCTTATATATTATAGATTTAATTGAATATATAATAATATAGAATATAAGAAAGAAATGAGCGTCGAGGCTTATGGACCAAGTTCTCAGACTTTAACATTTTTGGATACGGAGGAAGGAACGGATTTGCTGGGTGCAGATACACAAGGAACGGAATTTGATTTCACCGATTTCACCTTACCTTCTCAGACTCAAGCATCACAATTAGAACATACGCAAAGTCAGGCATCAAGAAGTCAGGTAAATTCAATTATTTTAAGTTAAAAGTAAAGATAAAATAACAAAAATCTTAACCTTAAACTAAGCCTTATACCAACGCTTCCANTAAATTTTTTTACTCTGGTATTTATAGATTTGTTTTTGAAAAATATACATTTGTTAATTTTTTATAAAGAGAAAGCTATATAAATCTGCAAAAAATTCTTTACAAGAATTTTCAATAGTGAAATTTTTCTATAAGTATGGTTGTCATATAAAAATTTCCATCTCACAGGATTTGTGATGGTTACAATACTAAAATTTTTCATTATATTATTCTAGTAATACAGAGAAAATATTTAATAGATAAAAAAAAAAATGTAAATAAACAAAACAAAATTTATTTTTTTACACCATTCCGTATAAACTTATTTATTTTCAAAATAATGTATTCAGAAGTAAAAAAACACAATTGTACGCCATATAAATCATGTAGCAATGATTGATTTAATCTTATATTTTTGCAGAATGTTAATTTATAAAATAAATTTAAATAAAAGTATTTATAAAGTATTTAATTCTGTTCTTTAAAAAATAAAGTATTAATTTATTTTATTGTTCAAATCATTTACAATTTGTTTATTATTATGCAAATAAACAAATTGCATATATAAGTAGAAATTTTTGTCAAGTATGGTATTATTTGAAAGTTATTTATATTGGTGGTTCTTAAATTGTGATACTTGTACAAACATGGAAACTTGATTATCTTAATCATGATTATCCAAATTGTTTAAAAAAAAAAAAAAAGAAAAATGTGCAACATTGTTCATACCAAACTCTTTGTATAAGTGGAAATCAGTCATCTATCAATTATAGTATCACAAAACTAGGTCATACTTTCAATTTTGAGTAAATTATTTATTTTCAAATATAGTAATTGCATTACAATATTTATTGTTAATAAAACTTTAAATGTGCAGTGCTTTATTTTGTACCCAAAATACAAAAAAAAAAGTTTTGGATTATCATTTATCCCATTACGTTTGGATAATCAAGTTTCCACTATACTGTATGCCACTCTTAAGCTTCACTTGATAATCTGTAACAGTAAAAAAGTTAATGATCAAGATCTCATCTTATTTTCATTATCAAATCTTTGATTAAATATGATATTAAGAGTGTAAAAATTTAGATAAAATGTATTTTTTTAATTTTGTAAATTTATTTTGAACAACAAATATATTTTTTTATATATTAATAATTTATGAAACATCTTGATTATAAAAGATTAAATTAGAATGTCATAACAAGTATAGCTAAAATAAATTAATATTTCTGAATTAAGTAATTTATTTCTATTTCTTTAAAAGAAAGTTCAAAGTATTTTATATAAAAAAAGTAAAGAATGAGTATATTTTATTTTAAAGATATATTCATTTTTATATATTGTATCTTTAGTGTATTTATACTCATGATTAAATTATTTTTTTATTGACATAAACTCAAAAATTTAATAACACTAAATTAAAAACATTTGGATTCAAAAAAGTTTTTTAATTAATTACATTAATCAATTTAATTTTTATATTACATGTTAAGCTTAGTCTTTATTTGTTNAAAAATTTATCTATAAAATTTTTTCATTCAAAACAAAAATTAGCAAGTTATATAAAATAAAACAAAAAAAGACCATAAAAATAATAGAAATTAAATTAGTTGTTAAATGTAAAATGATCTGTCTGGACTTTATCAGTTATTGAGTATATATGTACTTTAGTACAGTAAACATATCTTGAAGCTAAATAAGTGTATTTCTTTTAGACTAAGAATAAAATTGATCATATGAGTTCATAAATTATTTTAATTACAAGTTACAAATAAAGTTGTGCAATAAATTTTTGAATATCCACATTATATTAAAGCAAGCCTAATTAAATCAATACCAGTTTATTTAAAATATATAGAAGAGTTCTTAAAGTTAGTAGAGTCATCATTATCAAATTTGTAGATATTGTGAATCTCTAGTCTCTAGAAATATTTATACAAGAATGAAGAATGCTGTGTGTGTTATATATTATATATATATACATATATATGATAATATTGTAATACTAATCATAGTAACTAATATAAGTAATAGATATGTATATATCCATGGTGTGGTTTTCTTTATATTCCTTTTAAAAAATCAATTTTTCAAAAATATTTCCTCAAAATTGATGAAACTCTATGGGTTAATTGTACAGAAATAACCACCGTTTTTTTGCCTGGACTGCATTTAATCAGAGACAAAGCTTTTATTTGTATTTTTTATTTATTTATTTACTATGCATTTCGGGTGCAATATTTTCGTGTAATTTACACCCCTCTTCAGGTTTTTTACATTTCTATAAATTGGTAAATTCTATTACTATAACGGTATGTTACTACAATAGTTATACAATAGTTAACTAACCTGTTTTAAGTTTTAGATTGACATCTGCCCAGTGTTGATGTTATGTCCCCTAAGGCATTTTTAGACCATTTCCCCCTCTTTTTGTTTTCTTTCCCTTTAGCTCCTCCCATTTCCTCCCACACGTTGTCAACCTCCATTCCATCATTTAGATTTATGGTTTTGCTTTTA